GGGGGTGAGTGAATAACATTTTTCTATCATGAAATACAAATTACAATGTGTACTTCCACTCAAGTAATAAAAGTCCCATTTTTTATTTGGAAGTTTTGGTTTTTATCTCTTCTACTTTTATTTGAAAGTTTTTCTTTTATCGTCTCTCCAGAGGAATATTGCTGGCGAACCAGAAGAGAATTGATGAAGCTGTCACAAGTTATCAAAATGCAATAAAATTCAGGCCGAAATTATCAGGTATTGTTTGTGGTCTTCTGTTCCAAATATATTAATTAATTAATTCTTTCTTTCTTTATTTATCCATTTATATGTTAGTTTTAAATTTTTTCTCTTTCTTTGTTTGTTTTGTCATTTGTTAATTAATTAATGAATGAATTGATTGATTAATTAGTTTAATGAAATAAATGATTAATTTGTTTTATTTTTAATTTTTAATTTTTTCTTTGTTATTTATTTATTTATTTTCTATCTATTTATTTACTTATTTCATTATTAAGTTGAATGGATGAAAATTATGATGTAAATGCTTAGGCCTATAATGCTCATCATTATCAGCTGTTGTTGAAATAATTTAGCACTTATTTTAAAAAATCAACCGGAAATCACAATTGAGTGTGCATTTAGTGGTACGAAAATACTTTTATCTATTATTTGATATTTCTGTACTTTGCCTGGTGTCACATCAGCCTTTATCTCCGGGCCTCTTTTGCATAACCTTTACCATAATGTGTGTTCACGGAAGGGGGTAGGAATGAAATAAACCACGGTCAGTGCTAGAAGAACATACATGATGTATGTGTGAGCTTGCGTGCATGTTAGTAAATGTGATTTTTTTAAAAACTTTGCTAATGATGATAATAATAAAATAGTGATGACTGGATGGGTGAATGGATGAAGGACACCACTGATAGGTTCTACATGTACTTCTTTTAAATACCTATTCTGCTTTATGATTCTGCTTGTCTTTTCATCTTGCTTTTCCCCAGCTGCACTAAATAACTTTAATTTCATAGATATTATTGCGCTTCTCTGCACTCACTTTCTAACTAGTTGTTTAAATCATGGGCTGAGTACTTCACCTCTGAAGTAGCCTGTTATTTGTGTTTAGAATGACGACAAGCACAAACTAAAAGGAACAGAAAATCTAACCCGATTATTTGTTTCTCTCCAGTTGCCCATCTCAACCTGGGAATATTGGTGGCTCAACAAGGAAATTTTGAGTTGGCGAAAAGTGTAAGTCTTGTATGCTTACTAAAAACCATTCTCTATGTTTCCTCTGTTGTTTTATTATAATACAGCAGATATAACGCTTCCGTTAACTGATTCTATCCAGGAGATATTCCTGGCACTTTTATTGAAAGTAAAACGTCTATTATCTGAGCACTTTCGTTTAAAAATGAATTTCATTATATCACTGTCAAAGTATTCAAGTTGAGAAAAGGACATATAATTTCAGGCCACTATTTTGTATTAGCAGTAATGTTCCATTTCAAAAGAATCAGTTTAAATCATTGCTAGCCTATGACAGATATTGAACAAATGACCCAGAAAATAAATGATTTTAAGTCTGTGCAAAAGGAGCTATGAGCCTTATAAGGTTCTCTCAGTGTATTACAGAGATTTAGAAGTCAAGATGAGAAACTAATGCCTGATATGATTAATTGATTTTATTGTTTGGTATTAAACTATCACATTTTAGTTCTTTCTTTGCCTTTTACTGCCATGACTTTTTACTTTCTTTCTCTTGTCCCTGTCTGTACTTGGTGCTGGACATTTGTAAGTTACATGGGCAATGTGTTAACAGGGTAGTAATTGTTATGCTTCAAGACAGAAAACAAAACTGGGTAACAGGAGAATTGTTTGAAAATATAATATGATGACGATGGTGATGATGATTTTTGAAAATTTTGCAAGTCTCCACCGTTTTTAATATCTTTTTGCAGTCTACAGATGATGGTAAGGATGGTGATGGTGATGATGGTGATGATGATGATGATGATGACAACGATGATGGTGGATGATAACGATGATGATGATGATGATTTTTTTTTGGCCTCCTTTTTATCTTCAGCCTTGAAACAATGGTGATAATAATGATGATGATGTTAACGATATAGTGATGAAGATAATACTGATAACAACCAGACTGTTGAAAACGATGTGCTAGATTAGTCTCGGTGTTAGTTTAACCTCTTTTCTTTCTTTAACTATAACCATCATTCTATAATGTTTGTTCTCCAGATCTACAAACGCTGTGCTGATCTGGACACCTCGGGCTTGAAAGATCCGAGGCTACACGATGGCACCAAGATCTCATGTTTGTTTAACCACGGCCGCATCCTCATGGATGAAGGAAAGTCTCAGGTACATGCAAAAATTTTCTTATGTAATTTTGATCATTTGTACTAGAAAATGACTCAGAAATAGATGTACAGAAAAGTGGGAAGATATGTATTAACAACAAGCGGCTAGCCCAGAGTAGGGAAAGGTGGAAAGTGTTTGTTCGTGGCCTATATCCTGGTCCAGGGTGAGAGAGGCAATGAATATGATGGCTAGGAAATAAAGGGGGATTTGAGCTGTATTTTATGGAAGTAGCCGTTACAGAATTTATCTGCAGTATTATTAACATTTGTATACCTCAAAATTGAAAAAGAATTTGGAGTATCAATTGTTTTCGAATATAAGTGAGGACAAAATACAAAGGTATATTTAATTTAGTTTGGTAGTTTCACAGACATGTATAAGAACATCTTATCAAGATTTTTTTTCGTGTTTTGAGCAAGAGATTTACAATATTATCAAAATTGACAACTACTGTGAAAAAAAGAATTATGATCTTTTGTGGAGAAGCTGTTTTAGGTGGAGCTGTGAATTATAACCCCCCTTAGGATACATCTATTATTATATTTCCCTTTAATGGGGATAATTTTGTCACAGCATCTAACACTTTTGCTTGACTTTCTGTCTGGCAGGAAGCCTTGGAAGTCTACAACACAGCTCTGGCAAGAAGGCCTGACCATTATGCACCACAGAGCCTGTACAACATGATAGGTAACTCTTCCCCCC